CCGGCTGGGCCAAGGAGGGCATGGCATGCCACGGGCAGGAGAGCTGCCAGGAGAGGCACTATTTTCGAAGAGGTGCACACCTGCTCTAGTAATTCGGGCTCCCCAGGTGTTGGAAGAGAGTTCCCCGAAGGGTCTTCTTAGCCCTGGAAACTTCCCTCAGGGCTTCAGCCAGGACAGCCACTTAAGTCTGGAGGGGAATAACCATGGTGAGCGGGCAGGGACACAGGCTCCCTGGGCTGGTGGCTGCTCCTGGCGAGGCGGGCTCAAGCTGTCTTGTTTGTGAAAACTTGTCCCCGGGCTGCCTCCCTGGGGAGCCCCAGCTCCTCACAGACACAGAGCCTCCCTGGCTGGTGCAATCATCCCCAGGGGCATGCTGTGGGGCCCAGGGCGCCCACAGAGGCCACCAGCGCAGGGCCACCCAGCACGCTGCAGACACACCAAAGGGCACTGTTAGCAAAGCATTTGGGGGTTTGGGGGTGAAAGCGGAGTGAGGGACTGATTCCTAGGGCTTACCCCGGTGGGACAGGAGGCTGCTCCCAAAGAACCCCACATCCTGCCATCATGACCCCCAAGCCCATCCCTTGCTGTCCCAGATGAGACACACAGACCCCACAGAGATCGGCGGACAGGGTTAAAAGACAGCTCCAACCTCGGCTCCCCACACCAGATCCCTCTGACTTTCTTGTGCCAAGAAGTGATGGTTTTTAGGAGTCCTATAATCATTTTAGGAATAGCACAATAATACTACCTTGTACATGTTATAGTGTTTGTGTAAATACTTTATACCAGGTATTCTGGAACCGTGTTTGGGCAAGTCTTTTTTTACTGTTCCAAGCGCCTTCACTTAGTATCCCAGTGCAAGCTGCCCAGACCTCTCTCCACCTTGGAGAAGCCATATGGCTTCGCTCTCCTCCCCTCTCCCTGCAGGCACACTTAGCTGTGAAGCTCTGGGAGGCCTGCCTGGGTGCTCGGGTCTGATGGGTGTTGGTGGTGCGTGGCTTGGGGGGATGCTTCTGTTATTACCATCGGGTGTAGGAGGACAGCAGAGGGAAGACAGGGCAGGGCCTTCCTCTCAATAATTTTCAAGGCCTCGGGGCCCCCATGGATGGGGAACAAGGCTCACTCCCTGCAAGAGGCTTTGAGAACCCCCCGCGTCACCAGGGCCATCTGGAGGCAGGCAAATGCCCAGAAGTCTGGGCAGATTCCCACACCTGCAGATATATATCTTTTTACATCTTTACTGTCTTGCAGATTCACCCAAGAAACATAAGCTCTTATAAAATTTTCAAACACTCTGGAAATTAACTTAAAGCAAATGACTTTTAATTTTTACCTCATCCCCTCTGTAGAGAGAACCACCATTTTCTATTCCCTATAACATGTGCTATCTTTCAAATATCTTCCAGCATATGCGCTTCGTAAATAATGAAAATGGGTTCATACAGTAATAGTGTCCTGCTACCATTAAAAAAATCTTAATAGTACATCTTGGACATTTTCCCACGTCAATGGAAAAGCTCCACCTCACTCTGCTTGGTTGCATAATATTCCCCTGTAGAGATTGGTATAATTCATTTTTCTCCTCCCTGGTGAAGCACATTTCCCTTCAAATTTTCAGTATTCCCAAGAATTCGGTAATAGATGCCCTTGTTCCCCCAACTTTTTGTACACGTAAGGGTATATCTATGTCAGACAGATTCTGGGGGTGAATGGCATTCCCTGTTTGGATCCAGGTGTCTGCTGGTCTCTGGGAGAGAACTCATCTTGTCCCTGTGATTTCAGTGGCTTCTCAAGGCTGAAGTGTTTTTCCCTTTTGAGCCACACCTTGGCTCTCCATGGAAATTCCTACTGGTCATCAGCGGAACAAGAACCCGGTGGCCCGTCTGATCAGAACCACATGGACAGGCGAGTGTGGGCTCCAAGCGGGGCATCCTGTAGCTGCTTGGATCTTGCAGAGTGAGGACATTCCTGACAAAGAAGTTATCAGGCTACACTGGACAGGGACTCAGACATGGAGGGCCATGTAAGGGTCACTCTGAGCATGGAGGTGGTATGTGGGTCAGAGCGTGGGTTTGACTACTGTCTTCTCTACCTCTGCCTTTGAGAGATGACATCTGAATCCTCCCAGATGCGTGGCCTCGGCTCACTGCTGAGGGAGCATCCAGGGATGGAACAGAGCACTAGGAGATAGGATTCCTGGTTGCGCCCCCACCCCTTTGCCGTGTGATCTTGTGAAAAGAACTTTGCCTCTTTGAGTCCCAGTTTCTCTCTCTCCAAACACCCACTCCTTCCTTTTTCCACAACACTGATGAGGATTTTGAAAAGAATCTAACTCTTAGGACAAAGTCACCGGAATGATGCTTCCTCCTGGTTAGGAACGGGCTGAGCCTCCCGCCCCATCTCCACTCGCTTTGGCATCCAGCTTCTCCTAGGGTTGCCTTGTCTTTGTTTCTTAGAGGGTCCAGGAGGAGTGGGGCAGTGGCTCCCTCCCCCAGGGGCTGTGCCTAACTGGGCTCCAGGGACCTGGAGGGCTGCAAAGGGGAGTCCTCCCAGAGCTCTTTAAGTTTGTAAGCGGCAGGGGGACTCCGTAGCAGGAAAAAAACCCGCATGATGAACACAGAAGCCAGAGTTAGTAAGGGGGAGGCCCAGATAGGGCAGGGGGTGCCTCAGGGGAGAGGGGTGAGCTCTCCAGCAGCCTTTGCATGTGCGGGAGGGCTTGGGTAGGGAAGTTATAGAGCAAGGCAGTCCACGGCCTAATTCTGGATCCTTCAGTAGAGCTCCAATTTGGCTGTATCCTCATTTTCCTAAATCACCTCTCTGCCATGTCTGGCTCTGCAAACCCCTCTGTCTTCTTTCTCTGTTAGGTCTGGGGCTCCTCCTTGGGACCTCCCTGAGGCAGTGGCCAGAGAGGGCAATGGGGTGTCTGGTAGACAAGGAGCCAAGAAGCAAGCACGGAGATCCCCTTTCACATGGGAGCAGGAGGAGCCAGAGGCTTTGCGGGTGTTTGCTGGACTCTGGTCTGGTGCTAGCTTAGCTTTGCTCCAGGCAACAAAAGGACCCCTTTCTGAGATTAAAGGAACAGCTCATCACCTCCGAGGCTGGGGGTGGTAGCAGCTCTTCTGTGGACAAGTGGGAGGGAAACTGGTACCTATTGTCATGGAAAAACCCCTCTTCCAACCCAAACACACGTCCCAAACCAGGGAATAAACACTGGCCAGGAACCAGCCCCACTACTACCTTGCTATATACAGCCTCAGAGAACTCGCCCCTCGTGCCTCTGTCTTCATCTGCACAAGGAGCACCTCGCCTGCCCAGCAGCCTCACCGGGACTCCAGAAGGTGCGATTGTGTTTGGAACAGTATGAGGTCTCAGATAAATGTAAGGGTTTGCGTGATTATTGAGAGTGCTATTGGTTGTCCCCACGAGGACAGGGGGGAAGTAGAAACTATGGAGCCCTCTGTTTATTATAGCTGACTCATCTGGCAGGAGGCCGGTGGTATAACCTTGGCCACTTGGTAACTTTCCTTCAATCATGCAAGTCTCTGGTGCAGATAAACTTGCAGAAGCATCCTTAGGGAATGTGCATGTCATCTGGAATACTAAGAGGCTGCACCTTACAGCCCTTTCCACCAAGGCACTTTTATGGCACAAGCTGGGGACTGGAAGTACAACCCCTCTTTGTCCCCATTTTACAGATTTAACAACCTACCCACCTCCTTCAGTAATTCACAGGCAGACCACTGTCCCAACCTGGGTATTACCTGCCTGGTCCTCTGCCTGGCTCTCAACCCTGCTTTCTCAGGTGGCTGTAAGGGAACAAAACTTGACTCATTAACTTTACTGGGCATTAACCCTTGCCTCTCCAAGCACTCCGGGCAGAGGGCCTCTGTTTAGCCACCTGCATGCCCTGCAGAGGTGAGGCAAGGAGGAGGGAAGAATTACGTGAGCCACCGCTGATCCTCCCTCTGGTTCCCATCCCCCTCACTGTCACTCCCAGCATTAACACCCGATGCCACCACCCTGCCAGTGATCTGAGATGCCTGAACGTTTGGGATGCCCATCCCAGCCAGGACCTCAGAGAAAGGAATTGATCACTTAGTTTTTTTGGAGGGGTGGAGAAAACGTCTCTAGCAATATCAGAAGCTCCTAAAGGGGGGCCTCCCTTTATGCCTGAGTCAGACCATCATAAACTCTTGGAATGCCAGCCCTGGGAGACACCTATGGTCATTCAGTCAGGCCCTCGATTTTTGGGTGAGTCAGTGTCTCGGTAGGCATTTAGGATTGTGCCTCCCTCCACCAGAGATGTCACCCAAAGCACCCAGGACTATCACCATGAGGGAATATGTCAGGCTGGTCCCACAACCCGGCCCCCACCACACCCACTGCTGCTGTGTAGGGGACCCATTTGCCCAGGGAGGATGGGGAATGGGCAAAGGAAGCCCAAGGGATGTTCAGGGCCCCGAGGTCACTCTCCACTCCCGCTCCCAGCCAATTAGTCTGGGGAGGCCCAGGCTTTCCCTTCAGTATCCCCCAGCTCGCCCCAACCTCCAGGACAGTGGGTGGGGGGCGGGCTAAGCTGGTATTAAACAAAAGGAGAACCCCACGAAAGAAGCGAGTGGGCTTTTGAGACCTGTGGCTGCAGTAGCTGAAGGCAGGCCATTACCTTGAAGAGAAAGGCGGGGAAGATAAGATGGCAGGGGGAGTCATGGGGAGCCTTGCCCGCCCAGGCTTCCTCTCTGGGAAAGCTCCCACTTGCCCAGAATGAGGCTGCAAAAGCTGGTGGGCTCTCTGCCGTCTATGTCAGAGAAGAAAAGTTGCTGACAGTTGTCACCTGAGCAGCGCGGGTGTCTCCCAAACTCCAGACCCCGACCTCAGCAGGCTTTGGGGCCCAAACACCCCCCGGGGCAAACGGACGCCTGTCCGCATCAGCGCTGTCCCCTTCCCCTCCACCGCAGGTTCCCTGGGGGCGAACGGGCACAGAAGTTGAGAGATCTACTGACCGTCTGCGTCAAAGTGCTTCCAGATTTCCAGGAACTGGGACGCCGTCAGCTCGGCCAGGTGCAGGTAAGGGGGCTGCTGCTGCGGGCTAGCCATGGCGAGCGGCTCAGAGACCTCAGGCGCACAAGCGCTGTCCCTGCGCCCGGCTCAGCTCCCGCACTCGGCCAGGTCCTGCGCGCCACGCTGCCTTTATATACGGTCCGGAGGCTGCGCCCGCGCCCGGCCGCCGGCAGGGGGCGCGCGCGCTCAGAGAATCGGCCAGGGTGTCGGCGGGGCGGCGGCAGCGGCGGAGGCGCGGGGGTTCGGCCAGGGGGCGCGGAGTGGGGACGCGGTGGGTGCATAGAGACCGCTTGGCGCGCGGGCAGGGAAGCAGAGGTCCCCCGCTGCGGAGGCGGGGGAGAGGTTGCTCTTGCCTCTCTCTGACCTTCTTGAGTGCAGCCGGCACCCCGTATTGTTACTAGCGGGAGCAGTAGTAATAATAGTAACAGCAACGCCACGAATAGTAATAATAATACAAGCTTGACAAGTAGTTAGCACCTGCACTTCGCGGTTCTCTAGGTCTCTCAGGCCTCCTCTCGTCTGACCCTTCCACAGCAGGAAGAACAGGGACCACTTTTCTGAGGAGGGGACTTGAGACTAAAAAATGACGACATGACTTGCCTAGCAAAGAGGGGCCGAGCTAGAATTTGAACCCAGCGCTTTCCCATGCTCTCCTGGTCCCTCGGTGCAGCCCATACTTGGGGAGAAGCCAAGAGTTCTCAAGGCTTTGTTGGGGGGCGTGCGGCTGGAATCAGAGACACCCAGGGAGGATCCAGATGGAGGGGAGGAAGGACTTCCACGGTCTCCTTGGGTCTTGGTTGTTGCCCTCCTCTGACTGACTATGTCCCTCTGTGGTGTGGTTCCCTGCCTCACCCTGGACAGGCTCTGGGGGCTTTGAGACAGTTCAAGGAGTGTCTGAACTACCTCCGCTGCGGGGGCTTAACTGCACTCACCTAAGGACATCCTGGGAATCTGCCTCCGCCAGTGGGCAGAGAACATTCACTGCTGACTAGGAATGTTCCGTGCTGGTCTCAGAGAAAACAGAAGTAGCTGCTGAGGGCACAGTCCTGAGGACAGCAGACCAGGACTCCCCAAGCTGGGCACTGGGCTCCCTCCCCATTCTCTCCAGGAGCTTGAGCCCTGGATCCTCCAGGCCCCGTGCACCCATTACCCCTGGAGCAGCCCTCCTTTCTCCCCTCTCCTGCTGAGCGACTGAGAAATGAATTGATGCTCATTAACACGTGCTAATGAGTGTTAGCTGAACTGCCTTCTGAGGGGAGAGCGAAAGGGAAGGAGGTAAGTGAGAATCAAAAACAAGGTCGCTGGGCCAGAGGAGTCGGCAGGAGACAGAGGGTGAAGGTTGTCCCTTGGAGGGAGGGATGAGCCTAGAGCCAGACTCAAAGGGACAGTACAGAGCGAAGGCTCCAAAACCACTTGATTTTGCTCAGAGCAGATGTGCTTAGAGTTTCTTGCAGGAACACACTAGAGGAGAAAAGGAGTTCTTCCCCTCCGTCTTGTGCCAGAGGAGAGCCCCTGGCCGGGAAATTCACCAGAGTTGCTGGGGATTTCTCTTGCACTGCCTGTGGGGAGGCAGAATGGCTCAGTGGTTAAGGGTAGGCACCCTAGAATCAGGTTTGAATCCCAGAATAAGCTGTGTGACCTTGGGCAAATTACATAACCTATTCGTGTCTCAAATTTTCTCTTCTGCAAAATGGGAACGTGGGTATTTACCTCTCAGGATTGTTCTGAGGTTTAAATGAATTGATGTTCCCACTGCCCTTCATGGAGCCAGAGATCAACAGTGATTAGCTTGGCAAGAGATTCCTTGGCCAGCATCCCTCTCCTGGGGTAGCGATGGCTCCCAAAGGGGCCAGCCCCACAAGGAGGTCAAGGGGAAGTCTGAACACAAGCTCTTCACCACAGTGCTGCAGAGCCCTGCAGGGGATAGGCTCAGCCCCTTCCAGCTCTGACACTGTCCTTTGGGCTCCCCTTCCTCCCCTCCTGCCTCTTCCCTGGCCCAGATCTGTGGGGCCAGCGAGCCCATCCCAGCGAGCCAGTACCTCCTTGCTGCTTTGGTTTTCCTGGTGAGGAAGAGATTAGAGCTCTTGCTTCCTACTTTCCAGAGCTGCTGAGATGGGGGTTGGGTGTGTGTGTGGAGGGATGTTGGCTTGCCTGGGGGAGGTCCTGGACATGATTGCAGTGTGGCCATAGTGACCTCCAACTCTGCCTTGGGACAGCCCTGCATCATTCATTTTAGATGCATGATTGGAGTCTTTCTGGGAGGCCCATCCCTGGGCCCATCTCAGATACAGAGGGCTGCAAAGCCCAAGTAAGTCCCTTCGTCCTTCATCCCCAAGCCAAGCACTGCAGAAGCAGTCATGTTGAGGAGTTACAAGCTCTGCTCAGGGGTCGGAAAGCTGCGGGCTCAAAACCCACTTAATAGTTGTGAGGCCATGAGCAAGCTCTTTGACCCTTAGGAAAAAATAGAGGTCATAAAAGTGATATCGGTCACACACAGTCAGTGTAAGGAACAAAAGTAATGTAGTCAAGGAGTTAGCTAGCAAGAATCCTGGCAGTGGTATGTGCTTAACTAAAACGTGGTTATTATATGAACACAGGATATTAGGAGGAATTTTTCTTGTTGTTCTGAAAAGGGGCCAAGTACCGCACTTGCCAGGCACCTCCTGTCTGAGGGACTCACGATGCCTGTCCTTCTCTCTTTTTTTTTTTTTAAATGGAAACTTGCATTTTTCTTTCTTTTTTTTTTTTTTAAAGATTTTTATTTATTTATGTGACAGAGAGAGACACAGCGAGAGAGGGAACACGAGCAGGGGGAGTGGGAGAGGGAGAAGCAGGCTTCCCGCGGAGCAGGGAGCCCGATGCGGGGCTCCATCCCAGGACCCTGGGATCGTGACCTGAGCCGAAGGCAGACGCTTAACCGACTGAGCCACCCAGGCGCCCCTGCCTGTCCTTCTCTTTAACCAAGGCCATGGGCCTTGGAGTCTTGAGCCTTGGCCCCATGTGAAGACAGAAATGGTGCTGTTTCGGACTTAGAGTTGTCTGAAAGCCCACGCTGTCCTGTCCAGTGCCTAGAAGGATTGCACCCCATCCCTGTTGTGTGCAGCCTTTGGAGGTGGCTGTGCCTCCTGAGAAAGGTACATGGAGTTTAAGGGTGGTGCGGAAGCCAGACCTGCTGCTCAGCCTTTGGTGTTGAAGGAAGTCAGGGCTCTAGGAAAACTTTCATTCCACTCTGCTGGATCCCCTGACTCTCCGGAGACCAGCAGCTCCCCCATCCCACGGGGACCAGACCCGTGAGAAGAGCTCCTCCCCACTTCTCCTCCTGGGGGGGGATGTCTCAGAGCCAGCGGCCACCCCCCCCCACCTCCCTGTCATGCTCAGCCCAGGAGGGAGCCCAGGACCTTGTCTGGCTGCAGTGCGGGGAATGGGAAACTTTTAATCCGAGAAAAGACTGGAGTTTTAGGTTAGACTGGATCAAGTTTAAACTAAACATGAAGAGAAAACCATGGACTCAGAATAGGAAATCGCTAAGGGATGAAACAGAGATTCGAGGGGCATATTTGAAAGCAGTGATTACGCTTGTATCTCCATGAATGGAGACTCTTGTAATTCGCTTAGATGCCTGAGGTTTTGCTACTCTCCCAGGACCTCCTTCTCACATTTTATAACACTAATAAGAATGATGACCACAAGGATACCTTTAAATGCTTTGATAGAGGGCTTGATATGTCTTGTTTGGTTTGGGCCTTAAAACTAGCCTATCGGATGGGCAGTGCCCATTTTAAATATAAGGATACCAAAGCTCGGAGAGATTAACACCCAACCGAGACCCAGCAGGGGTGGGATACTGAGAACATTCTGGCTGCTGCAGTTTCCAGTTTCCAGGGTGTATGGAGTCCTTGGGGACCAGGTGCCAGGTCCCCCACCTCCCCCCAAGTGTGTGCAATGTGCTTCCTAGAATCTGGCCACAGGACGCCTTGCCCGACTTGCTCTCTGCCTCAGGGCCCAGAGTCGCTTTCCAAAGGGAGAGGGGGGGCCTGTTGACGGTGAGGTGGTGTGAGTCTGGAGAACAGATGACAACTTTGCAGCCAGCACCCACTGGGCCCGGATAATTGGCAGGGCTCCTCAGAGCACCTGGTGTTAATTTGGAGCACATCAAAGAGAAAACCAGAAACCCAATCGAGTTCCTCCCTCTGCCTGGAACTATTTCTTCCAGATATTGCTTCTTTGGTCTTTGTAATGGTCAGGCCTGGCTACCCAGGTGCCAGAAAGCTGGCCTTACTTCCCAGGAAGGAGGTTAAAAGGGATGCAGGAGCCCAGCAGTTTCCATGGAAACAGATCAGGTGGAGTAGAATAGAGTCCAGAGGAACCCAGAGGTGGGAGCAGGACTTTTGAGTAAACTCAGTCTGAAACCTGAGCATCTATGGACAAAATAGTTGCCGCCAAGGAAGGGATTTGGGGCACCAGAATAGCAACAGGGTGTGGAATAACAATAGTGGGGGCTGGTGAGTGACACCCTCCCCCAACAGGCAGAGCATGGGGGCTGAGAGCTCAGGCTCCATAATCCCATAGGTCCCTTTCAGCTTTTGCTTCTGCTGCTAATCAGCAGTTCTGCCAAGTGATGGCTGTGTGACCCTAGGCAAGGTGTCTACCCTCTCTGAGCTTTCATTTTCTCATGGGTGAAATGAGGATAATTCTAGTAGCTTTCTTGTATGCCTTTTGTGAGGGTTAAACATGGTAACACATGTAAAGGGTGATGTAGGGCCTGGAACATCATAAGCACTCAAATGTTATTATAGATGGGAAAACTGATGGCAGATGATAAGTCTAATCCAGTCAATGTAGCCCATCCACCTGGCCAACGTGATCGGTTCAGGGATAGGCAATGAGAGATTGTATCTCAGAATGTGGACAGCTACAGAAAGGGCTCCATCTCCACTTGCAGGTGTTCTGGTGTGAAGCTGTGAGGTCTGGCATTGCTGCAGCCATCTTGAGACCATGAGGGGCCTAAGATGGGGAAGGGCACAGAGAGGAAACTG